GGCGGGGGTGGAGGGTAGGGGGGGGGGGGGCACTTATGGCAAGACAAATGATCAAAACTGCATTCTGAGCAAGAAAGAAGTACTGTTTGAGACAGTGGAGGAAAGAGGCTTGGTTACAGATCGTGTTTAAGGGTGAGTCAGACCTGGATTTCACCACCATGGAGATAAACAAAACAGCCTTAAGCAAGAGTAGGAAATGCAAAGTGGAGACGAAAATGAGAAAAGTCTGGAGGGAGAAAGGGAATATTCACCGATGAGGAGTCAGGGTCTCCGCAGTTGAGCTTAGCGAAGCGGAAACTGAAGCAAGACTGAAAATAATCTGTGTTTATGAAGTCAGGCTATTGTTTGGACGAATCCTACAGGGTACGTCATGTTCTCACAGACTTGACTTAAACAAGAAAATGCTCAGACTTTATTTTGAAAAAAATTTAACTTGTAAACAGACCTTTGTCTCCAACAGCCAAACTACTCACTCTCTGGAAACAATATCCTTTAAAGTGGACACTCTTGCAAAATCCTTGGCTAAAACACTGAAGTACCATGTTGAAAAGCTACACACACATTTACAGGAACTTAAAAGACTTCTTTTGTGTTTCACAGGAGATACTTCTTATCTGGAGTGCACCTCAGGCAGTTTTCATGCACTCTTGGGACACATGAACGCAGCTGTAGGCGTAGCCCACATTGTTTTCAGGACACCACCAGGACAGCCAGCGACTGAACGACGACATACGATTAAACATGGTCACTGGTCAGGCTGGGGAGGGAGCCAGAGAAAACTACGGAGTCCAACGTAGTTTTTGCAAAATTACACACTGAAGCAACATTAATTTTTAGTGATCTCCGATTCACGTAACCGGGTGTCATTACCACTGCTGTGAATAACAGTCTTATTGTATTTAGCCTTAACCTTAGTGAGCAGTTTCAGGTAGGATTCAATGTCGCCCGCTCTGGCCCCAGAATGCATTGAACTATGATCCCTGGAGTCCCTAAAGCCACATTTTGGACTATGGAGCGGCCAATGACCAGGGTCTGCTTCTCAGCGGGTGTGTCACCGAGCAAGGAAAATCAATTAGAAATGTGAATGGGTTGGTGGTGAACTGGGGGCTTCGCCTTATCACTATGCTTACTCTGGACCATCACCCAGCCGGCCTGGGGTCCCAGCTGCTCTGAAACTGCTGGAGGGCGGCTAACGGGAGCTAGTCTCTGTGGCTCCATGCTGCCTACGGGGATCTGGCCAGCTATTGGTTTTTCAAGAGTGGAGCCAAGCTTCCAGTTCAGACAGCCTCTCCTACAAAGCTACCATAAAACTACACTTATTATGGGGCAGATGTGGCTGAGTGGTTAGAGCAGTCATCCTCCAATGGGAGCGTTGGGGGTTTGACTCCACCAGCAGTCACATGCAGAAGTGTCCCAGAGAGAGACATTGAACCCCTCATTGCCTCTGATGTGAGTCTGATAGGTGTATGAATATGATAAAGCACTGATTATTCTTTGTAGAGATCTAGTAGAGCGCTGTATAAATGTGTAAATGAGGGCACAGATTGTAGAGTAAAGAGATTTGAGTGTCTTGGTAAGATAGAAAGGTGCTATACAAGTACAGTCCATTTACTGTTTACTTATTACACATACTATTATCATTAAAGGAGGCAGAGGAATGACTAAACATCTGACACACACAGCAAGTGAGAACAGAAAAAGCCGGCAGAGAACTGGAAGCCATGCTAACGCTAGCCAGAGCTAACAGATCTCAAATACACCAAAAAAAACCAAGAAGTGCTGAAAGACGAAAGGTCTCAAGCACAGTCCGATAGTAGAAAAACAACTGTACTGAGGTTGTTTGTGCATTAGAATGTAGAACTGGGCAAAAGATAAATCCAGTACAACAAAAGACTCCTCGAGCAAACAAATTACTCCAGCTACCAGCAGAAAAAATAGGAAGCGACACAATACGCCTTACTGCCAAAGTCCTCACATCCTCCTGGTTCTACGATGTAATCAGAGTTGTTGGTAAACTTCAAGCTGCTACTCTGTAATGTTAATTAGGTGTACAATGATTTTGATGGGACAAAATCTTTAGCATTACCCAAAACATAGAGCCACATGAATACCTACTTTTCAACCATCCTTCAACAGATTATCTAAGGGTCTAATCTAACGTCCAGAGAAACCTGAACGATGAAAAATGTCCACGCACACAGTCCACCTTCAAATAGCAGCTCTTTGAGGAGGTTATTAGCCTTTCAACTGTCGCCTCATTACTGCCATGTGGAAATGCTCCAGAAACCTTCAGTCACACAGTAAGCTGCCTTAAGATGATAAGGGTCTAATGTCCGGCATCAATGCATCAACGCATGAGGAAACCTGAGAGCCTCCTGCCAAACCGAAACAGACTCCAAGGTTGCATTCATGAAGGGCGCTTTATTTTCCTCCTTACATAAGGAAGGAAGCAAGTCCTGGCCAAGTAATCACATCCAAAAAGAGACAATCTGCTGACAAACTCGAGTCTCCAGTTTGTACATGCATGCAGATGCAAAAATTAGAAGAAGCACAAAAAACCAAATCATACCAACAAAAACAAAGCTTTACTTCAGCTGTAAAAAAAGGAATGAATTATTCAACATTTAAGCAAATAAAATAAAATATATAAATGTTATCCAAAAAAGCTAATTATCAGTGGACCGCTTGCCCATGTTTTTAAAACAACTTCTAGAGTTTACCCATTCATACAGCTTCTAAATATTTACAAATAAAAAAAATTGGAAAACATATTATCATATAATTTTATAGTACTGACATGCAGCCATTTGGTCTGGTATCAAATGAGATTTAAACCATAACTTGTAGATTTTTAAGCGTTTAAGTGTTTTTAAGTCTCATTTGATAATCCTAAATTATTAGAAAACTAATCAATAATTATTAAATCATCTGAAGTCTAATGCCAGTTTAAATCTAATGTAGGACGGAAACAGCCCGAGTTGGATTTATTGGGTTTATATGGGTTAGGACGCTTGACAGAATTGGTGCTGCTCTATTCACACACAATCTGTTGTTGCTCTATAAATTAGTAATTTAATCTAGGGGTGCATTGATAAATCGGCCGCAATTTCCTTAATTTTGGGAAATCGTCCGATACTTGCATGAGAAACCGATTTTACAGATTTGTTTTAGTTTTAACAATGTCTAAACTTCATTTACTGTATATTCTGAGCACTACCTCATGGCCAGTTAAAACAAGTTTGTATTATTTCTAGGATATTGTTCAAGGGCACGTTTTTCAATAAAATAAGATTGGAAAATTGAAGGTGCATTGTGAACTTATAACTCCTGACAGTGTTGCATAGAAAACAAATTGGTATCGGCAGGTCAGACTTTTGAGAAATCGGTGATCGGCCAGAAAACTGCAATCGGCGCACCCCTAATTTAATCAAGTGTTTACAATGTAGTTAAACTTAGATTTTTAGCAACCCGCTAAAATAGGCTAGACCAAAATGCAGGAAATAGCATCTACTTTATTCAAAAATTTAAGAGGGAGGAGGACCTACAAGCCCCCCCCCACAAATTGCCTCCTGACCCCTATTTGCATTCTGACATTGATCAGTTTACAAATTAAGCCCTGTTTAGAATGATTTGTTCAATTAGCTTTGTACAGATCTAGCAGAGTGCTGTATGAATGGGTAAAGGAGGCACTGATTGTGTTGTAAAGAGCTTTGAGTATCTTGATCAGACAGAAAGGTGCTATACAAGTACAATTCATTTCCCACTCCTCAGAGAGGAGCCTGCAGGCGCACCTGATAAATTCTAAGGCCTTCTCTGAGTCTGTAAGCTAGAAAGCCGAGGTCGTCTTGACCTTGCCTCTTTGTGTATGCGTGTATTAAAGCACTTCCTGCCTCACTGTCCGGTTGCAGATTCTCACTGACTTTTGCACATCTGTAAAAGCTTCCACGACTCTCGCAAGTAAACTGGGTTGAAAAATCTTCTGTCGTCGTGTGCGAGTTCCTTTATTTAAGTAGATGATGAAAGGATATTTATTTTATCCAACACCACGTAGGTCAAAAAAACTACCACATTCAGTCTAGTTGTTGATACCCAGATAATGGAGCTGCCAACACATCCAAAAATCTTCCTTTCAAGAAGAGTTGATTCATGTGAATGTTTATCTACACTCCACACGTACAACATTAGAAAGGTAAAAATAACTTGCAGTGCGTTGCTCCCTCAGTTCATCCACCTGCACATGATGTCATTGCATAAACATTCCTCTCCTACATTTCCATCCAAACATGTCCCTTGCACTTGATTGAACTACTTTCAAACTGAGATCATTACATAAACACAACCTTCAGTCCTTATAAGGTGCTGAGCCAGATTAATTTTCTGGGTGAATCGAAAGAGTAACTTTACCAAGGCCAGAAACACAGGAGGGCTTACATCAAAGGCTCCAACGTTAACGTTCAGTTATCGACCGAGACAGAAGAAATGATCAGTTCAAGTTGGCAGCGTCGATCCACCTCCTCCAGATGAAAACCATTTGGTGGCTATAAAGAGGCAGCATTCCCACAAGAAAGAACCGTCGGGGAGCTGGGAAGAATTATCTTCCAGTGTGGAGCAATCATGCCTCTTCAAGAGTTCAGCGTCTCTGATTTCTAAGGATGTTGCCTGGATTAATACGTAGATTCACACTTGAAGTTTGTCATCTGTGACACATGTGGCTTTAAAACTGTTCATGCTGAAGAGAATCACAATAAACTTGTTGTGTCCTCTTACTGACTTGTTTTTACTACAATGTGGCGCTACTATAATGAGCACTTGTATCGACGTAAATCCAGTGTTTGCCTCTTTGGGGCAGCTATGGCTGAGTGGTTAGAGAAGTTGTCTTCCAATGCGAAAGTTGGGGGTTTGGCTCCACCAGCAGTCACATGCTGAAGTGTCCCTGGGCAAGACACTGAACCCCTCATTACCTCCCATGTGTGTCCCATCAGTGTATGGATGTGGTATAGCACTGATTAGTAAATGGTAAATGGACTGTACTTATATAGCACCTTTATATCTTATCAAGATACTTAAAGTGCTTTGCACTACAACCTGTGGCCTCAATTACCCATTCATACAGCACTCTACTATATTTATACAAAGCTAATTGAACAAATCATTCTAAAGAGACTAATCAGAGCTTTATCACATTCATACACCAATGGGACACACAGAGGCAAAGAGGGGTTCAGTGTCTTGCTCAGGGACACTTTGGCATGTGACTGCTGGTGGATTAGAACCCCCAACTCTTGCATTGGAGGATGACTGCTCTAACCACTCAGCCACAGCCGATTAGTCTTTGTACAGATATAGTAGAGTGTAGGCCTGTCACGATTACAGATTTTGCTGGGCAATAGTCTCATAAATTATAGCGGTAAACAATAATATTGTTTGAAATTTGACAATAATTACTAATTATTAGTAATTATTGTCAAATTTAAGAAGAAATGTTGGTTAATTTTTGTGTGTAGTTCCTTTTTTGACCACTGGATGGCAGTACAAGACTGAACAGAAGGATGGATAGTGAGGGAGCGAGCAGCTTGTCTCTTTAAGAAAAATGGGAGGGAGGCCTCTTGACATGACATGGGCTGTTCCTTGTTCCTTTTTTTGGTTCTCAAAATGTCGGACGCTCGGTGTGGTTTGAGCTCTTTAGCATAGCATTTGTCACACAAATCTTTTTATTACAAAAATCAGTAAACAAGTTCTCAGCTTCTTTTTGCAAAGAAAAACAACATTTTACATGAAGGCACAGGTTTCAACTGTGAATTTTGGAGCTTTGACAAGATGGAGGTTTCTTCCCTGAGGTCGGACTGTTAGCTTAACTCGTAGCTTAGCTTATCAGCTTAGCTGCTTTTAATGATCCAAAAACGCTATTTTGGATCGTTAAAATGGATTTTAAAGCAAAAAGAGAAAGAGAGGGGTCAGTGAAGAGCACCGGAGTTGAGCTTTTTGTCATCCAGTGTCTTCAGTAGAAAGAGAGAGACAAAAAGAAGCGATAAAGCCGATAAATGAAAATGAGGTAGATCATTTTCATTTATCATGTGATTAACTGATTTATTGTTTATCGCGACAGGTCTAGTAGCGTGCTGTAAGAATGAGTAAATGAGGGCACAGTTTGTAGTGTAAAGCACGAGTAGCTTGATAAAATAGAAAGGTAATATATAAGTGCAGTTCATTTACAACTTGGGGAAAAAAACAGTATATGGTCCGGACATTAGCTGGAAGCATCTTAGCATATGAAACAGCCTGAGAGGAACAACACTTTGAATTTGCAACTCACTGCAGGCATCTGTGACAAATCAAGAAAATCAAAATCCTCTTCCAAGGACAAAGAAAAGGATTTTCTGAGACCTGATGTTTCTCCATGAATGCCACCTTTGTTTGAACATTTGAACTATTAGCTGAAAAGACGGTCTTGGATCCAACTTTTTCCCCGTCTTTCACTGGGTCATCTGACAGACCTCAACATACTCTGTAATAAGAGACCACGAACAATGTTTACCTTCAACAGTCTTTATCCAACACCCTCCCCCAGGAAAGAATAATCTTTATCCAACGCTCTCTCCCAGGAGAAGATGAAACATTTTTTTGCTGACTAAGAGGCTTACTTCCCCTCTCACTCTGCCAACAGTTTTTTTAAGCACTTATCAGAACTGTTGCTGGTGTTTTGCCAAAGACAGACAAGGAAAACACAGAAAAACAAGATGCTTTTATCTATCTGATAAAAACAAAAAGCGTTTTTTATAACAACTCATGAATCTCAAAACACAATCTCTTTCAGCAAGTTTCTTTTGGTTTAATCAAACTCAAGTCAAACCAAGAGAAACTGTCAAAGTCGATTACAGACGATCTCTTTCCACTGACACCTCGAACGACGTGGGTTTGGCAGACTGGCAGATCATGCAGAATACTTTACGGTGAAACTCACGATGAGCTCATGGAAATTACAAACTTTTGTCCTTTTATGATTCATAAAACAACAATTTGGCAACGAACACGCAGGAGAAAATCCAAGGCCTTCACTCATCAGACGTTTAGGCGTAACTCATGAACAACAGAGTCAAAATGTTTCTTGCCGTTTCAGGAAACCATTGTTTAAAATGCAAAACAGGTCAAAAGTTTTGTCAGAACCTGCTTGTTACAAGTTAACAGGAACATTTTCACTTGTTAAAAAAAAAAAAAAAACAGAAAGGGAAAAACATTGTAAATAAACAGGAAGAACAAATCGTCCCACTGAGGAAGATATGGAAAAATATAAACAGTCAAAGTGAGCTAAACAACGACTCAGACATGTTTGATTTGAGCAGTACGGCTATCTGATGGAGAGACGTGTGCCTGAATATGCTGATAGCTTCCCTTTCATCTGGTACACTGTCCCCCCCACCAAATTGTTGTGCCTGTGTTGAAGCACTTACCATTAATGTTCATAGCTGGCAACACGACAGACATCTTGGGTCGACTTCCTTTGTTGTGGTTGGAGGCAGGAAGTAAAAGATGATCCTGACAACAAAGAAAGGAAGGTCATCAAGAGGGACGAGAAATTCTCTAAATAAAAGGTTGTCTGAGTCTGTGTTTGAAGAGTTACATGAACACACATGGACGATCAACTTTAAGAGTCAGTAATGCTGTGGCCTTGTTGCAAAATCAACAGGCTGACAATGAACTTCAAATCATAAAACTTGTGCTGTAGAGTCCAGTTTTGTGTTAGACGTCTAAAAGCTTTGCTGATAAAAAGCACAAGTGCAACTAGATGTTTTAAAAAGGAGCTAAACTGTTTACTAAAAGGAGAAGGAGAAAAGTTGCAGAAATGCCAAGAGACGGTTTATTTTACTTACTATTCACGGTTTTCTTGCAGGAAAATTTAATCTAAGCAATTCATGATTTGAAACAAGAAAACAACTGACATAAATAATGATGTATTGGCTTTGGCGTCTCCCCCAGCTGCAGTGAACTGGTCAAGGAAAATATGTACAGATGTTTATCATTTTATGTAAGGGAGATAGGTAAGGTATAGCCTCATTTCATTTTCCAGTCTATCCCTCAATGTGCAGCAAGGTGAAAAAATAACTTGAAAAATGTGCCAACTTCAACCACTACATACTAGTTAGTTACAATAATTTTTAATTCTGTGGTTAAAAAATTCAAAGTGTTGACTTTACAAAAAAGACCAAGCTTTTCAAGTACAGTAGTCTCTCGCTACTTCGTGGTTCAACTTTTGCAGACTCGCTCCTTCGCTGCTTTTCAAAGTAAGATTGTACACGACACACAACTGTCAACTTTAATATTACTCATGTGATTGGGACAGTACAGGATTCTGTAAAAAAAAAAAAAAAAAAAAAAAAAAAACCTACTTTGGACAAATATGTAGTTTTCTCTCAATAAGCCTACACTGTAACTGCAGTCAAAAGAACTACATTACCAAGAAGCCAACAGTGCTTCCAGCTGCTGCTTTCTGCTGAAATGAAGGGAAAGGTTTGATCCAATCCGAAACAGTTCAGTCCTTATTCTTATGCCCCTTTTCCACTGTCACGGCGCGGGTCGGATATTTCCGGGTTGAAGCGCGTTGGAGGTATTTCCACTGTTCCAGAAACCGGCTCGTCTCGCTAAATTCTGGCCCGGCTTCTCAAGGGTTCCGAGCGAGCCGCGCCGTGACGTCAGAAACACTGTCGGTCACTGATTGGTCGGGGGGAGGAGTCTGTGGAGTCTTTCCAAACAACCCGATCCACCATTTTTTTCTCTACCGCTTGCCATTAGCGATAACATGAGGAGCGTATATTTTAGTATTTTGAAGCTATACAACAACAATAATATCAAAGCCGTGGTCAAATGCAGAAGTGCAGGTGTTGTTGTGCTTGGTGGCCGACGAAAAAGGTCAAAGCGAGCTAGATGGAGGATTGGAGGGTGGTTTGGACACGACTACTGCTCTACTTGAACCATTTATAGAAGATGGTGAGTGTTTTCTAACTTTAAACATATTTTAAATTACTCATCCCATCGGTTCTGAACATATTTTTAACTAACAAAAGAGGCTGACGCCATAATAGTACAACGTCGGTGCTACGATGCTAAGCTAATTTGCATAAATGCTAACTGTCCTCCGGTCCCGTTTCTCACTGTATTTTATCCAGAACGTCTTTCAGCGCGTGATGGTTCATCTCTAAACTCCACATTAAACCCTCCAAGCCTCCCGGCTCCTGCTCCTGCTCCATCAGAGGAGTCTACACCTGACAGGTCTCCATCAGAGGAGTCTACACCTGACAG